CCCCCCCCCCCCCCCCCTTCCCAAAAGATCTGAAAACCCCAAGCCCCTACACAACGAAGCCTGATTTCTACCCCAAACCGGATAGCATAGGACCTTCATGATTAGCATACGGTTTTGGAGGTATAGTCCGTTATTATCACAGACGGACTGTGCAGGGATACTTGTCATAGCTATGTCGGGCCCTCAACCCGAAACCCTAAACCCCGAACCATAGACCGAACCCTTGAACCCACAACCTTCAACCCTGAACCCCCAACCCAAACCCTTAAACCCTGAACCCAAAACCCGAACCCGCAAACCCTGAACCCCAAGCCCTATGAACCCTAAAACCCTTTAAGCCCTGAACTTCCAGCCCTTTGGGCCTCACACCCTAAACCCTAAACCGCCTGAAACTGTCCTCCCTGCCCCCAGATTCGGGTTTAAGGTTATGTACTTCCGCCACAAGGACCCCAAACCCTAAACCCTAAATACCCTAAATACCCTAAATACCCGAAATACCCTAAATACCCTAAACCTATAAACCCTAAAGCCTCAAACTCCCAAGGTCTCAACCCCAAACCCCTGAGCCTCCCCGCCACAAGGGAGGCAAGTGCAGACTGCGGAGCTCACGCCAGGCGGCCCAAGAGCAGACCTTGGAATAGGAGATAAAAGGGTTCTGGTTTAGGGTTTAGGGTTTAGGGTTTAGGGTTTAGGGTTTAGGGTTTAGGGTTGAAGGTTTCGGGGAATCCTTATTGTTATATATGATAGACTAAGATCTTGGTTCTATTTTCTACGATCTAGTCTTGGGAGTCCTGATGGTTCTGGTACGATCTAGATTTGGGAGACTTGTGATTCTATGACATTCTATGATCTCGTCTCGGGAGTCTATATTCTATGATCTAGGTTTGGGAGTCCTTGTGATTCTATCCGAAACCCTACCCCCTAAAATGACCTCGGGTCTAGATTAAAAGCCGCCTTCTTCTGGAGTGTTCTAGGGCTCTTCGTCTTCGGGCTGAGGATGTGGGGTGTAGGGCTTCAGGCTCCAGGAGGCTGTGGGGAGTCGGGTCTAGGGTTTAGGGTTTAAGGTTTCGGTGTTTTTTGAACTCCCCTTCTAAGGTTTAGGGTTTATATAGGGCCTAGTTTAGGGTTCAAGGTTTAGGGTTTCGGGGTATCGGGGCTCTTCACTGATGTCGGAAGGGGCGGGAAATTCTGCGCAGCAGTCCGCCGTGTACTCGTGCATGACAGGCTGCCTTCGCTTCTTGTCAACTTAGGCCTGCAGCACAAGCAGCAGTTTGCCAGAGACCGTCCGACATGGCCCGGAGCGGCTGCCCTTTGGCGGGGCATCCTCATTGTCATCCGTGGTCCTCCTGCCCGAAGATGGAGCAGAGGATTCACGCATTAGACTCATTACAGACTTTCTGTGGCCTTGGGAGAAGGCTTAAGGTTCGAAGAGCTTCTCTGTCATTCAGTTTTAGCATAGCAAGCCACGGATGGAATGAAGCGAGCCTAGCCGGATATGCATCTTCGAGTCGGCTTCGTGGGACTCAATTCACGGCTCGCTCGCCTATACTCTGAAGCCCTTCGAGGCATCTGCCACCAAAACGCCTGAACCACCACATGGATGTCCCGCCAGAAGAAACTGGGGAAACCACGAACTATGCGGCCAATCTGTGGATCTCAATCTCATAGTGAGAGGCCCCGAACTCTTAGTATATAACACTTGGAACCGCCCGGGGCAGCAGCCGAGGATACCAGGACCAGCAGCAAGAGGAGGAAGATGGCCTACAGAAAATCTCTGGAAGATAGGCATGCCAGTCATGGACAGACTACTACCACTACTACGACTACGACTACGATTGGACTGCGACCGACTGTTGCTGCCACTGCTACTGCTACTGCCGCTGTCGCTCTTCCTGCTACTGCTGCCACTGCTGCTGCTGCTGCTGCAGCTGCAGCAACAACCAACCAACCAACCAACCAACCAACCAACCAACCTACCTACCTACCTACCTACCTACCCACCCACCCACCCACCCACCCACCCACCCACCGACCTACCTACCTACCGACCTACCTACCTACCTACCTACCTACCTACTAACTAACTAACTAACTAACTAACTAACTAACTTACTTACTTACTTACTAACTAGCTACTACTACTACTACTACTACTGCTGCTGCTACTACTACTACTACTACTACTACTACTAGTACTACTAGTACTACTAGTAGTTGTTGCTGCTACTGCTACTGCTACGGCTACTGCTCCTACGGCTGTTACAACTAGTCCATTATGACCAGCAATAGCAATACTACTAGGACTTGTTCTACTATGAGTAGAACACAAAGCACTTGTACTGCTACGACAAGTACTATGTAGTACTAGTGCTGCTGTTGTTGCTAGTACCAGGACCATTGCTACCGCTGGTATGACTAGAAGAACGAACAATAATGACGAATGCAACGACTAACTTGCACTGCTACTCAAGGCTTCTTGCCTCGCTTCGGAGTTGCTACCCGCCCCTAGACCCTAAACCCGAGAAGACCCTAAACCGAAGCTCTTCGACTCTTCGGGCTTGGGACTCAGGGTTAAAGCTTCCCTATCCCACAAAATTTCGGAACCCTAAATCCGAGTTTCCGCAATCGTTCTGAGATCCCTCCAAGTCCCGAATGTTTAAGCTTTCGTACTGTGGCAGCGAAGGGTCCTTGCTTCCGGCTCTGGGTCTGGCTTTAGGGTTTAGGGTTTAAGGGTTAGGGTTTAGGGGTTAGGCTTTAGGGTTTAAGGGTTGAGGTTTTGTGTTTTTAGGGTTAGAGCAAGGGTTTAGGGTCTAGGGTTACCCCAAAATAACAGCCCTGAAGTTTAAGGGTTAGGGTTTAGGGGTTAGGCTTTAGGGTTTAAGGGTTTGGGTTTAGTTTTTTTTAGGGTTAGATCAAGGGTTTTGGGTCTAGGGTTACCCCAAAATAACAGCCCTGAAGCTTAAGACCTTTGATGTAAAACCCAGTTAACTAGATCGGGGGTCTCGGGTGATTAGATACTAATTCTCGGGAATAGGAATTGGGTTCACGAAAATTTCGCGAGCCCGAACACCAAGAGCAACAGTGACCGCCCGGGTCATCGAAAACCCTTAGATAGCCCAGAAAAACCAAAGTAGCTTGTAATTAGCCCCCTGAACCCTAAAACCCGAAGCCCCCGCCGATACTGATTCTAGGGAATAGGAATTGGGTTTCGCGAATTCTCGCGAGTTTGAGCACCAAGAGCAATAGTGACCGCCCGGGCCATCGGAAACCCCTAGATAGCCCACAAAAACCTAAACCCTAAACCCTAAACCAATAAGCCCCCTGAAACCTAAAACCCGAAGCCCTTGCCAATGCTTGCCCAGGAGATGATGAGTCCGACGATGACAGCAGCGACGACGGCGAGGAGGCCAGCCGCATCTTGAAGAAGGTGTGCTTTCCCGAAGTGGGGAAGAAACCTCAGGATTCGTGCATGCTTGTCGCCACATGCCTGCAAAAGCGATCCTCCAAGCTGACTCCTCTGCTGGACAAGTTCGAGCGGATGCAGAAGCAAGGACCTCTGACCACTGCACAAACCAAGCACCTCGCCTAACTAGCTAGTATCGTAGACGATTACATCAGCCTGCCCTCCTTTGCCATCCACAAATCCTAAGGTACATGGAGAGCATGCGAACGATCGTGGACAAGCTGACTGAGTTGGAGGACACGCTGACGACCATGTACAGCAACGGGGTTGCTTCTGGGTTCACAAAAGAGAACCTCGACAAACAGCTGGGGTGTGCTTTTTGTTGATGAGGATGTGGTTTAGGCTTCTCAGATGTCATCAATCCAGTAATCATGCCCAGGGACCAGAAGAAGATGCGAGCCCACTTCCAGACCGCGAAGACGAGGCAACTCGGTGAGTAGCTAGACTGACATGCCACAGCTCTACTCAATTCTTTCTTATTACGGGTGCCAATTCTAAGGGCCGTCGAGGCGGAGATGATCTTCGAACGATCCAAGAACTTCAAGCCGCCTGTCCCAAATAACCCAGCCCCTAAACCCTCAAACACTTGTTCTGTTGTTGGCCTGTTCCTCGTTCTGCATTAAGGCTGCCCCAGAACGTCGCCGAGCCCCTGAAGCAGGAGCCGAAGGTGAAAGCTAAGCCAAAGCAACCTGGCAAGGCCAAGGCGGCACCCAAGAAAAATACGCACGGCCACGGTGGTGATGATGACGAGGATGAGAAGCCGCCAGGCAAAAAGCCAAGGAAGTAGGTTGGTAGCTGCTAGCTTGCTTAGCTCAGCATGCAAATGGTGTCAATGCCTAAACCCCTAAACCCCGAACCCTTGTCTTTCCGAATAGCTTGAAAGAGCCTGCTGAGCTGTGTGAAAGAGTGGCTTGGAAAGCTGCTGTGCCAACGGCTTGGAAGTGCCGATCGTGAGCGAGCTCAAAAGTTTGCACCCGGATGTCTGAAGCCTCCAACCTCATATCCAAGCCCAAATCTCTACTACCCGGTATACAAAGCCCCAAGTAGCCAGCCCAAAGCGAAAACAGAAGCCCAAAGCCTAGGCAAGCCATTAACCTAAGACCCCCAACATCCTACTTCACGCCAGGTTCCGAAGATGAGAAGTTTGGCCGAGCGGCACAGTATGCTGAGATGCTCGGTGAGGGTGTCAGGATCCTCAGAGAAGGTAGGGTCTTGAAAGCTAGGATATGATATCGGGCTTTAGGGTGTTGGGCTTTTGGGCTTAAGGTTTCAGGGCTTTACACGCTTTGGGCTTTCGGGTCTAGGGCTGTCAGCAGACAATCCGAGCGAGAGGGGTTCAGCGGTTTAGGGGTCAGGGTTTAGGGCTTTATGGTTTTAGGGTTCTAGGGTTTTGGGCTTAGTCCTTTTGGATGAAGGAGGGTTGAAGGTTTTAGGGCTTTAGGGTTGAGGGTTTGGGGGTTCAAGGGTTCAGGGTTTTAGGGTTTATGGTTTGGGGGTTTAGGGCTTATCGCTTTAGGGTTTAGAATTTGGGGGTTCGAGGGCTTGGGTTTGGGCTGTAGGGGTTTCGGGTTTAGGGGGATCCATTCTTCGAAGACACACACTTAGCTTTTGTGTCTGTGTGCAAGAAACCAAAGCTTGAAACCCTGACCCCAAATCCCTGGACCCTAGAGGCCCGAAGCCCCAAAGATACGATTTTACGCTTGGAGTTTTTACACCTAGCAATTAGAAGAATGACAACAGGCTATTTTATTGGAACCCTCGGTACATACTTCGCTTCTATGGAGTCCAAGCCCTGAAGCCCCAAGCCCCAGAGGTCTGAAACCCGTGCCCAAAACCTGAAGCCCTCGAGGCCCGAAACCCACAAGAGTAATTTAGCTTTGAAGTTTCTACATCTCACTCTCGGTTCAGCATTGTGCAAAAGACAAAGCCCGGACTTTGAACACCAAATGCCAAGACCTCTACAAATCCACGTCAACCCAATACCTAGCCCTCTGCAAGTCCGCAGCAGAAGCCCTACAACTTCAACCCGTAAACCGCTAGAACCTTGAACCCTGAAACCCTAAACTCCACATACCCGAAAACCACCTAAGTCCAGATACCCGAAAACCACCTAAGTCCAGACCTTGTGGTCTCTTGGTTGCCAAAGGAGCTGGCCCGAGGATCAGTAGCTCGAAGCAAGCCACAAGAAACACCAATTCCCAAACTAACTGAATACCCTAGGCCACCCCAAATGTAACCAGTGGGCCCCAACACCAATTGGATCTGAGTCGGTGAAGAAGTCCCCGCTTAAGGGTTTAGGGGTGTAGGAAATAGGAAATCCTGAATAACATTAGCCCTCTAGTCTATCTGGCATACTTAAGCCCGCACGAACAATTCTCTAAAGATTATGTTTTACAAATCGTTGTCGAAGAAAACTACTCTGCCGAGGCCACTGCCAAGGACACCAAGCGATGCATCCGACAGATGCAGCACCCGACCGAGCCGGAGGAGAAACGGAGACAGGCCCCGAACGAGGAGAGAGATTGCCATAGGCTTTTTAAACGTTGGGGTTTATCTTTGCCTGTGCCGATAACCGAAAAGACCTTCGTGCTGGACGATTCAGAGACAGCTGATACTGCTTATATACGAGTCGAAGACTGGTTGCTGTATCTCTTGAAACGGAATCGGTCGTTGCTCGCTGGGGGCAACGACTCTTTGGAATTTCAGCTGCAAGCCTACTGGATGGCTTACAGACAGACACACAGCACCCACCCGGTGTTCGAGCGAGGGCTGGACCTCGGGACCACGATTCCATTGGCTTTTTATTCAGATGAAGGCAAGGGCCCGAAGCGAGGCAACTACGTAGTGGCCGCCATCGAGTCGCCGATAGGTTTGCAGGACGTGGCCGATGACTTTACTTGCACTTGCAAAGAAGATGTGGAGAAGGCGCCGCAGCAGTTTGTTCCGGGCCGGCAGGCAGCCGGCCCGTACACGCCGATGGAGGAGGCCGCCCTGAAGCAAAACCACACGTGCAAAGGCCACTCCTACCTCACCAGACATGTGCTTTTTGGCCTCCCAGATTGGGTTTACAAACACTATCCGGAGGTCTTGGAAAAGATGACCAACCAGGTCGCTGACGAGCTCTCGAGGCTTTTTACATCAGGCCCGGAGGTGAACGGGAAAGTGTATACGGCTTGCCTTGTTGGGATCAAAGGCGATATGAAGCAAATCGCTGAGAAAATTGCTTATCTCAACAGATACTATGCCCGAATGGGCCCGGTGAACTACAACGGTGTCTGTGCACATTGTATGGCCGGTACGAGCCCCACTCTGCCTTTCGATGAGCTTTCGCATGAGCCACAATGGGCTTCGACGCTTTATCAGCAGCGACCTTGGGACTCAACTCCTGCTTTGTGCTCTGTGCCGCACGACCCCGTTGCACCTGAAAAAGTATTGAAATACGACATATTTCATTGCTTTAAGGTTGGCTTGGGCCGGGATATCTGTGGGTCAGTGGTTTTACTTGCCCGCCTTGGTTATTACGACGATCCTGATGGCAGCGATGACTCTGAGAGAAATATCCAGGCGAGGCTGAACCGGGCCTATCAGCATTTCAAACTTTGGAGATTGGCATCGGGCAAGACGGCTGCTTTGAGATATTTTTCGAAAGGGCTGTTTAGCCTCAAGAACCTCACGGATTTTGCTTGGTCGAATACAAAGGGGAGCGATACGACATTGCTTTTGCAATACATCAAATTCTTTGTCACGATACTTTTGCAGAGACCAAGCTTGCCTCGCAGCCATGCCCACTTGTTTCGGGCTCTCCGGAAGACGATTACAGAGTCCCAAGAGGCCTTCGAGATTATGTACTCTCATGGGCTATGGCTTCGCCGACCGTGTGCACAGCAGCTGTACTTGAGACTGATGTCGGTGCTTTCGGGCTACCAGTACGTCGCCAAGCAGGCCCTGACGATGGGCTTGACTTTTTATTCACTGAAACCGAAGTTTCATGCCATCCATCATTTGGCATATGATCTCCGTGTAGCATTGCTGGCCGAGGCAAAGCTGATCCCCAACCCTATTACTTGGAACTGTGAAATGGGTGAGGACCTGATCGGCCGAATCTGTTCTTTGTCGCTGAAGGTATCGGTCACGACGATCAACAAACGAGTGTTGCAGCGACACTTCTTGAAAAAGGCTGCTTTAATCCGGAGGCATCGACAGGATCGATCCAAACGAAATCTGCGGCTCTGAATTGCTCTACGGGCTCTAAGTATACCATCCCCTATAAGAATAATATATCCGGTTTAGGGTTTGGGTATAAGTACAGGAGGCCCAAGGCCGAAGGAGCACCAGGGCCGCATCGCAGACTCCAGCAGCTCGTCACCGAATGGCCGGCGAAAGATGAAGGATGGCGGGTTGGGGTTTCGGGGTGCTTAGGGTTCAGGGCTTCAGGATATCCTGACGGCAACACAGCTAATCCTCAAAGGGGTTGGACTGCCTGATTGTGGGGGTTTCAGGGTGCTTAAGGTTCAAGGTTTGAGGGTTCTTCTTTCCCTGAACGAATACGATTGCACAGCTATGAGCCACCATGCTTCTCAAAACAGCTCCTCGCATTCCCAAACCCTCTTTGAAGAGACAACCCTCGTCCTCAATCAACAAACATCGCCCACCCTCAACCCTTCAGGGCTTCAGGGCTTCAGGGCTTCAGGGTTTCAGGGTTTCGGTCAGACGTGATGCTGCTCTTGTCCAATGTGTGAGTTTTCTTGTCTTGCCATCATGAGTGTAATTTGCTTGGCGGCGTTTCTGTTTCGTTGTCGGCGTTTTTGTTTATTGGCGGCGTTTTCGGGATTTGGCGGCGAAATAAAACGCCGTTTCCCCTGGCGGCGAAAATAAACGCCGACGGAGTTCCTAGGTAT